TTAGTTCATTTATTGAACTAAGAGTTAGCTTATTAAGAGCTATGTTTTTAATTCACTTATTAATTAATTAGTAGCTAATTAATTTTTATCTCTTCTCCTTCCCCTTGTCTATTCGTTTTTCGTGGATGGCTCTTGGTTTTTCGTTCTTGGCTCCTTGGCTTCCAAGGTTGGCTGCTGTGTGGCCTTTCCCGTGCTTTGGTGCCTCGGTTCCGTGCGGGCCTCTTGGGTATTCGCAGCTGCCTCTTCGGTTCCTTGCTGGGACATTTCCCGTGGCTGTTTGGGGGCTTTCCGTGGCTTTGGTGCTTCGATTCCCGGAATGGTTGTTGGCTTTTCATTAATTTTTGTCTCTTCTCCTTCCCCTTATCTATTTGTTTCCCGTGGATGGCTCTTGGTTTTCCGTGCTTGGCTCCTTGGCTTCCTCTATTGGCTGCTCTGTGGCCTTTCCCGTGCTTTGGTGCCTTGGTTCCGTGCAGGCCTCTTGGGTTTCCGCGGCTGCCTCTTCAGTTCCCTGGCTGAGCGGTTTCCCATGGCTGTTTGGGGGCTTTTCCGTGGCTTTGGTGCTTCGTTTCCTGGAATAGCTATTGGCTTTTCATATTCCCTATTTAAATAAGCTTTTAAATTAATGAGGGGTTGTTTGTTTTCCCCTCTCATGTCTATAAATAGTATATGTTTTGGGTTGTTTGAGTATGTTATGTGATTGATTTTTGGAAATGTAAACCTGCGGGTTTCTTCTTGGAAAAGCTTGTGAGCTTGTTCCATCACTTCTTCTTCTATCTCTTGGGAAATCTTGCGAGCTCTTTCCACCCTTCTTCTTAGTTTCTCACTTCTTTCGTCTTCTGCAAGTACCACCTCACATGTATCCTTCTTCTAATGGATGAAAGCTTCTTTAGGTGTTTGTTTTTAAGTCTTAAATTTGTCAAACGTTTGTAAGCATCAACGTTTGTAAGAGTCTTTGTTTGTAAGCCGTTTTATTATTAAAGTTGTGTTTTATATCATTTGTGTTATTTTAAGTATTTTATGTCTTTCTATAATCCTAGAAAGAGTTTTGTTTTTGTGATAAAAAATTTGGGTCCCTTCCAAAATTTTTTATTGCATTATGGACAAAGGGAGAGAGAACAAAATGGAGTGGAAGTCAGAAAGAGAGAGACATCAAGAGCACGAGATAGAGAGAGATAAATATATTAACAAATATAAAGTAAAAGAGGGGAAAGGAGATAAAGTTCCCTACCCTGGTTTCTTTGGGTATCTGTTCCCTACCCCTGGCTCCTCTTCCTGTGGCTGGTTCTTCTCTTCTGTGGGTGTCTGTTCCGATTTCGTTGGCTGCATATTCTGGTTCCCCTGGCTGCCCGTTCCTGTCCTCGTGGCCCTTCGGCTGCTGCTCCTGGATAGCCTGTTGGCCTTCTATTTCCCTTGACCTAATTGGTTTGGTTGGTGGTTTTTGAGTTGTTTGGCTGCCCCATTTTAAGCTATAAATATGTGATGTTTTGTTTTTTTTTTTAAAAAGAGGAGATTATATGATAGTTTTTGGAATAAAGCCTATGGGTTTTCTTTTTTTGGAAAAGCTTGTGAGCATGTTCCATTCTTTTTCTTCTTCTTGGGAAGGCTTGCGAGTTTGTCCTCTCTTCGACTTCGACTCGAGCTTCTTATATCTTTCTTCTCTCCGCAAGTGATCACCCCATATGTATCTTTCTTCTCAATGATTGCAAGCAAGCTTAGGAGTTTTTATATCATAAGTTTGCAAGCGTCGTTTTATACCCCTAGGTTAGGATTTTCTTAGGTTTTTTGTATTTTCTTTAGGTGTTTAAAAACATGAAAAAACATTAAAAAAAAATTGAATCAGTTGTTGGAGAAAATAAGCCAGAGGCGTTTGAAGAAGATATCCCTATGGACAGATGGATTCCGTCGGAAGGAAGTTCAACCGATCCACTACAAAATGAAATATACAAGCTTCAAATGAAAATGCATGCATGTACGAAACAATACATGAAGAAAAAGAAACTTTTGCAAGACCAATTCAAGAAAGAAAGAGAAATTATCTTGAAGAGGTATGGAGCTATGATTCAGGAGCTAGATGCGGCGCCTTCATCTCGTCAGAAAAATTCTAAAGCATCCTCATCAGGAGATGAGCCCTTTCAATCGGGGAAGAATCTGATATAGGCAAAGGGGGGGGGGCAAATTAAATTATTTGCCTAATTCTTGGGTGCTGGTGGTTCTCGATTTGGGCTTGGTTGCTCAATTTTGGCTGCGCCTTCATCTCGTCAAAAAAATTCTAAAGCATCCTCATCAGGAGATGAGCCCTTTCAATCGGGTAAGAATCTGATATAGCAGGCGGGGGGGGGGGAAAATTATTTGACTTGATTCTTGGGCTGCTGGTGGTTCTCGATTTGGGCTTGGTTGCTCTATTTTGTCTGTGTTTTTGGGAGCTGCTATGTCTAGCTCATTATGGCTGAGCTGCTTCTTCTTTTCAGCTCATTAATTAGGTACTCCCCCCCCCTCCTTTCCTCACTCTATGGCTCTTCGGTTTCCTGACCCTAGCTCCTCTTCTCGTGGCTAGTTCCTCTCCCCAGTGGGCGGCCTATTCCGGTTTCCCTGGCCGCTTGTTAAGGTTCCCTTGGCTGTTCGTTCCTATTCCTCCTTATGGCCCTTCGGCTGCTACTCCTGGATAGCCTACTGGCCTTCTATTTCCCTTGCCTTGATTGGTTTGGTTGGAAATATTTGGGGTTGTTTGGCCGCCCCATTTTCAGCTATAAATATGTGATGTTTTGTTAAAAAAAATGAGATTATGTGGTAATTTTTCGGAACAAAACTAGAGTGTTATTTTTGGGAAAAAGCGTGCGAGCTTATTTCATTCTTCTTCTTCTTCTTGGGAAAGCTTACGAGCTTGTCCTCTCTTCGACTTTGTCTCGGGCTTCTTATCTCTTTCTTCTCTCCGCAAGTGGCCACCCCATCTACTTCAGAGAGATATAGCAAGCAAAGAGAGGGAAAGGTAGAGGGTGAGAGAGGGGAGAGAGATAGAGAAAGTACAAAATTTATTTGTTGGATGCTAGAGAAAGTAATTGAGGGAGGGAGGGAAATGGATAGAGAGGGATAAAGAGATGCAGCAAGAGAGTGATATTGAGATAGAGAAAGACAGATGGAGAGATGAGGGAGAGGGAAAAAAATGTGAGAGAGAGAGAGAGAGGGAGTGGGAGAGAGAAAGTGAGATAAAGAGACACTGAGAGAGGGAGAGAGAGAGAGAGAGAGAGAGAGAGGAGAATGCGAAGGGAAAGAAAGAGATAGAGAGAGTGAGAGGGTGAGAGATAGGGGATAGATATGGAGAGAGAGCAAGTGTGAAACGAAGGTGAGAGAGAAGCAATAAATAGATCGAAGAGAGAGATGATGAGAGAGCATGATAGAGATGAAGGGTGAGTGTGTGTGTCTGTCTGTGTGTGTGATAGAGAGAGGGAGATAGAGTGTCATATATAGAGAAAATGAGAGATGTAAAAATAAATAATAGGAAAATTAAAAAACCAAGAACAATTCAACCCACTGTTGGTTTAGAAGATGAAAATAAAGACAATGATGATTAGCTGATGTATTTCCCAATAATTATAAATATAAAACTATATGTCCATTTGTGGTCGATTGTAGCTATTTGTAAAAATTTATAAAAATATTGTCAATAAATAGATTTTTTACAACTGTAATGTTTATAACAAATTTCTTATAGCTATAAGATTTTAATAGATATGATTATACAAAGCTAGTTCTTATCATACAAATGCCTAAAAAAGCATAAAAAAGATATGGCCAAATCAAAGTATGATAGTGATCTGCAAATCAAAGTAAAGTAAAAAACTTCCTTAGACAGGAGAAATTATTATGTGTGAAGTACGGCCGTAGGGATATGTCCGGACTCCAATAAAATTTTGACACGTGGATTGGACACGTGAATATTCAATTGGATTTATTTTTTACTTTATATATTTAATGTGCCCGTGGAACTTTTAGCCAAGCGCACCAAAAGAGCAATAAAAAAGCGCAACAAAAGAGTAGTCAAAGTACAACTTAAATGCAACTAAAGAACATGTAAAGCGTAGGTACAGCGCAAGTAAAGCGCACAAAAAAAGTGCAACCAAAGTGAACTCCACGTGTCAAATTTTAAGTGAATGTTCAGATGTATCTCTGCGTCCGAACTCCGCACATAATAATTTCTCCCTTCAATAATGCATTTTGCTTTCATACGTGCAAACAAAAGATGCACTACAACCATAACATGAAATCTTTTATTCTTTTTTTTTTCCTTTTGCAAATCCTTTTGAGCACCAAATTATAAGAAAGTAACTACTATAATCATAATTAAATTTAACCAACCATTTCGGGTTAGCATTATGAATTCTCATCTTTCATCTATTTCTATTGAGTACCACGTGAGTTGCTAACTCTATTTTGCATAAATTTACTTTGCTTAATTCAATCATGATGTCTTTTCCTATTATCTTCCATAATAATTTCAATTTTAATCTACTACTCTTATTAGCACATCATCTACATTCTACCATATATTCCCAAAACACCTAATTTATTACATCATCTAATCTTCAATAAATTTTCTTCCCAGATCCCTCTAATAAAACTCTTTTCCAACTCAACTCCTAAGTTTAACCACAATCCTTCTTTACAATCTCATAGTTGTCCTACTAAGCATAGCTATAAACAATTTCTTTTTCCACTACTCAGATCGATATAAAATGACAATTTGTTAAATTTTATCAATTTATATGCATTATTATGATATTCTTTTATTGCATAGTACTATTAAGATTCGTTTATTTACCACTTTCATTTAACTCTCAAAGTTGTTTCATCTACTTACAACTCATTTATATAAGCAAACTAAAAATGTACTTGAAACACACCACATGGAGTTTTTACTTATCCTTAACAAATAAACCTGTATAGGAAGAGATCATAATACAAATCCTCACAAGAGTTTTCCAAAATAACAACAACAAACTTACCCGCAAACTTTTTGGAGCTTCCATTCCTTGGATGTCCTTGGAAATAGTCTGGAACCATACAAAAGAAAACAAAGAAAATATTATAATTACACAACAATAGCATATAGTCTTTAATAACTCCAAAGACAATTCCTATAAAGAAAAACAATTAAGTTGGAACGACATATGGATAAGGTTGAGTATTGAAAACAAAAAGGGTAAATAAAAAAAAACTTTTATTTTATGCAAGAAATACAGGATATAAAACAGGTTATCTATCTATATATATATATATCTTATAATTACTTATTTATCAAAATTAATCATGACAATCAAATTAAAAAAAATCATCTCTTAATGCAATAGCTGCTAAATTATAAATAACAAATCCTTTATATAAACTATTTATCAAAAAGTATTTGACATGAAATAAGAACAACAGGTGACATATGCAGCAAATAGTAAATGGGATGAAAGTGCCCAGAAAGCCAATAAACTTACCATTTGACCAACTGCTATTGTATATATTACAAGAGCATCTCTATATTGTAAACCAGCTACTTCTATTATTCCTGAGTTCTCTTGGACCTGCTTGCTGTGGATAGAAAAAGAGCTTATGCTGAAGTGTTTGTCTTAATCAATTAGCTTGGCTCACAGATGATCAATTATATCGACTTTCAAAAAATAAGGATTAGATATGACTGTATGCTAATCAGGGGTATGGAGATGTTTAAGCACCACAAATGCATACAGAAAATGACAAAATTAAATGAAATTAGCTTATTCATCGCACTACCATGAGTAAAGATTAAATATGCATACATCATATGACGATGCGTTGTATGATTTACTCATGAACAAGAAGCTGATGAGATATAAGATTGAGAGTATGTAAGGAAGCTTTTATAGAGGCTAAATCAATAAAATCATTACCATCACTATTACTATGACAACAGTCTGGAGTCCACGTGTTTCATCTAAAAAATGAGAAGTGCAAAATCAACAAACAAAATAGTGTTCCACCAGAAATGCAGGAAAAAAGTTGGATCGTTCAATAAACAAAAGAATTAACAGGATAAATCTTTTATTAAACTGGGAACTGATCTTTTCTCAATCCCTATCTTGTCAAACGGATAGAATAAAAATAAACCATGGTTTGTTATAAAATTTTGTTTCCTCAGTGGGAAGAAGAAATTCCTAAACAACGTCAAGAGGTACACTCATCATTAGCATCATTAACCTCACCTAACAATTTACACTTAGCTCAATATATCATCATCGGAACTGACTCCTGATGAGTGCAAATAATTATGCTTGATAATCAACAACATCATTGTCCAAACTACTTGGAACTTGTAAATCTTTCTTCATTTATTCATGTTAATAATAGCATTATGTTCAATAATATGTTATTTCCTTTGGAAAACAATGAGCAGCATGCATATAAAACAATATGAAACCCAAGGCAATTAAAATATAGATCAAGAATTTTTACACGACTACCATAGTTAAATCTCCAAATGAATGTTCATGGAAATAAAAGTATTGCATACAACTGCTGATGTTTCCCCACAAAAAGCCAAAATCATGACATGGTAACCATGGAAGCATGACAAATAAATAAAAGCTATTTAACACCCCAGTTGGAACACTATTTTGGAAACATTTTCAAATCCTTATATGATGGATGCTTAGTTCTAGGTAAATATAGCATAATGCCAACTTTGGTTTCCTCTATGGTAGCAAAAGATTTCCATTGTGAATAAAAAAGAATAACATTGATACTTAATAATCAACATCATCCTTAGCCCATTCAGAATTTAAGAATACTTCTCCCTTTGATGCTCTGTGCTCAGTAATGTGTTATGTCCATTAAAGAATAATTTGGTGCATTAAATGTTAAACAATAATCGGTAATAAACTATAAAAAATAAAACGTAAGAATTCTCAAAGGACATGCAAAGTCAACTCACAAATTGCCTACTGATAAATTATATAGTGCTTCTAACCCTATGTCCCTATCCATGTGACCGTTTCTTGCCATTCTTTTTCCACCTACTTTGTCTACAGGTAATAGTCATATGACAACCTAATAAAGTAATCATAATATATTGTATGAAATATGATAAGTACCCTGCAGCAAACTTTCCCTTTGGAAATAAAAACATTAAGTTGCAAAACTATATTGACTTCTCCAGTATTTCAAATCAAGTCGATATTGTTTTCCACCATAAAATTTTGCCCAAACAATCTTCAAATCAGATATACACATCAAAACAACATTTCTTGCATTATTTATTTCTATTGGAGCAAGGCTTCCCTAGAGAGAGGCCATATTAATAAAACAAACCAAAACCAAAACTTACTGTCAAGCTAAATCTCATAGTTCTACTGCAAATTTCATTCCTTAGCTTCCCTAAAATGCTTCATGTCATTAAAAGACACATTGGACAGTCAATAAAAAATAAGAAAGCATCCAAGAAGCCAAAGCACATTTCTTCGACGGAAAATTCTAAAAAAAAGTACGATTGTCTACACAAATAGTATTTTAAGTATGGAAATAAAACATCATCACACTGCTTACCATGCTTTCTTCTTCATCTTGTTCACAAGCGATGTCTTGTAAAAACCACACAGCACTTGAACCATCTTCTTCACTTTTTTGAAATCGAGCATCTCAAAAATAAGGCTTTCATCACAGCTGAAATCCACAAAAGCCTCCTTTACAAACAAAATGAATTTGATCGGATCAACAAACATAAATATTCATCCAAGTTAAATAATAAACAGCTTTTGGGAGGAAAGAAAGAACCACAAAACCTGATAATCAGGAACTTCGCTTACTTCACTCACATCCTATACAACAAAACCATCCACCATCATTCCACCAATTGAAAATTATAGATGCATGCATGAAAACAGTGTAACCACCTGAAATCTTAGAGGAAAGCTGCTCGATATTTCTCCCACAAACAGGGGTCTTTCATAGTAATCGTCCCCATGATGGTTTTGCTCAATGTGTGTTTCAACCTTTGAGATCGAGTTGTTCAAATGCGAGATGGATTTGCTTTATGTGTTTTAAAAAAAAGAAAAAGAAAGAAGTAGCTTTGAATTATTTTTCTAATTTTAGTTTTATTTGAATGATGATGTTGGATTGGACCATGAACATATTTAGATTCTTTTTGTTGGAGTTGCATATGAATATCTTGTTGGCAATTATACTTATTTCTAAACCTTTGGAAAACAAATTGGTATCAAACTATCCTTCGTTCTTCTTCTTTCCAATGACATGACTTCGAACTTTTTGCAAAGTGTTGTATATTTGGCATGAGAACAATTTCATGAGTTTGGGTTAAAAACTTGCTTGGAATTTTAATGACATGTAGCATGCAGGATAGAAATGTGTTAGGAAAGCTTTGTGAGCTGCTTTATGTTGGAAAGTTCTATGATTTTCTTTATGACTAAAAAACTTTATGAGTTTTGGAGAAGTTTTAATCCACACCATCACAAGTTCATGATCTCATTATGCCGCTATAACTTGACATATATTCAGAGCTTTACTTATGACATTCCAAAATACCTTTTCTATATACTGTTCTTTCTATTGGATCAGAAGTAACGATGACAACGGCGGCTCACTTGTTGCGAAGGCCATACCAGCTATCTAGTATGGTCTCTTCATGTTAGGAGAGGAGACCTAACGATGCTTTTAGTTGGAGAATGTCACAAGACCTTATGGATGGTTTACCTTACGATTTGCTTAAGGGTCTTCTACCTAAACCTATTACTAGTCTAAGGAGAGATGATTCCAGCATTCTAGACAAGTTACTAAACCCAGGTTTAGATAGCATTGGTATCCGAGTACCAGACAATAATTCATTCATGCAATTGCTTGTGGTTCTAGAGGCGCATTTGCTCTTACAAGTTGCAATCTCACCGGACAACCCTGTAGCATCAGCCCAAAAAAAGAATGCTAACCTTAAGGAAGTAAAAACTGGCTTAAAACTAGGATGGTGTCATGAAGAGGGTTATCCACCACAAGTATGTCTAATTTTAAGGAAAGAAAAATATTAACTTAAAGGAAACGAAAATTAGATTAAATTAGGACGGTCAGACGAAGAGCATTATTCACCACTAGCACGTCATATCCGAAGGAAAGGAAGAATCCTAACCTTAATGAAATGAAAACTAGGTTAAACTATGATGAGGCCACGAAGGGAATTATCTACCACTAAAACGTTGAATCCTAAGGAAAGAAAGAATCCAAGCCTAAAGGAAAATAAACTAGATTAAACTAGGATGGTTCCACGAAGAGCTTTATCCACCACTAGCACGTATCATTCTAAGGAAAGATAAAATGCTAACCTAAAAGAAAAGAAAATTGGAATAAAACTAGAATGGTGCCCAGATGGACATCATCCACAACTAGCACATCTAATTTTAATAAAAATAAGAATCCAAACCTAACGGAAAAAAACTGGATTAAATTATGATGGTGGCACAAAGGGAGTTTTTCACCACATGCGCGTCAAATCCTTAGGAAAGAAAAATTGTTAACCTAAAGGAAAAGAAAATTGGATTAAATTAGGATGGTGCCACGAAGGGCGTTATTCACCACTAGCACATCGAATCTTACAGAAAAGAAGAATCCTAACCTAATAGAAAAGACAATGCATTAAACTAGGATATTGTACCACCACTAGCACATCATATTCTAAGGGAAAGAAAACTAGGTTAAAAAAGGATAGTGCTACAAAGGGCGTTATCCACCACTAGCATGCCTAATCCTAAGGAAGGAATAATCCTACCCTAAAAGAAAAAAGATAATGTGATTAAACTAGGATAGTGCCACAACGGGTATAATCCACAACTAGCATGTCTAACCCTAAGGAAAGAAAGCATCCTAACCAAAAGGAAGAGAAAACTAGATTTAAAATAGTATGATGCCTCGAAGGGTGTTATACATGACTAGAACGTATAATCCTACAGAAAGGAAGAATCATAACCTAAAGGAAAAGAAAATCATATTAAATTAGAATAGTGCCACGAAGGGCTTTATCTCCCACCAGCATGCCTAATTCTAAGGAAAGGAAGAATCCTAAGTATGAAGGAAAAAAAACTGAGTTAAAACTAGGATGGTGCCACAAAGGGCACTATCCACCACTAACACTTTCAAACCTAATGAAAAAAAAATTCTAATTTAAAGAAAAAGAAAACTTCATTAAACTAGGATGTTGTCACAAATGGCATTATTCACCACTTCCACGTCTAATCCTAAGAAAAGGAAGAAGCCTAACAAAAGGAATTGAAAACTAGATTAAACTATTATCGTGCCAAGAAGGGCATTGTACACGACTAGCATATCTAATATTACAGAAAGGAAGAATCCAAACTTAAAACAACAACATCAAGCCTTTATCTTACTACGTGGGGTCAACTACATGAATCATTTTTTCTTCATTGTGTCCTATTAAAAGTCAAATTCTCATTTAAATCTAATAAAGAAAGATCATTTCTAATATTTTTTAACCAAGTCTTTTTAGGTCTGCCTCTACCTTTCTTAACATAAGTCTAATCTAATACATCTACTTTCCTATACGGGTCATCGGAAGGCTGCCGCTTTATGCTTCTCTTTATGGCCAACATTCGGCACCATAAAGCATTGCAGGCATCACCACCATCTTATAGAATTTTTCCTTAATTTTGAGGGGTACCTTTCTATCACACAACAAGCTCGATGCATTGTTTACTACTAGCACATCTAATCCTAAAGAAAGAAAGAATCCTAGCTTAAAGAGAAAAACAACTGGATTAAACTATGATGGTGTAATGAAGGGCGTTATTCACCACTTGCACGACAAATCCTTAGAAAAGGGAGAATGCTAACCTAAATGAAAACTAGATTAAATTAGGATGATGCCGCGAAGGGCTTTATTCAACACTAGCATATCAAATTCTAAGGAAAGAAACAATTGTAACATAAAGGAAAAGAAAACTAAATTAAAACTAGGATGGTCTCACGAGGACAAGGTCCACCACACGCACGTCTAGTCAAAAGGAAGAATCCTAACATAAAGTAAAAGAAAACTGGATTAAATTAGAATGGTGCTATGAAGGGTATTGTCCACCCCTAGAACGTCTAATCCGATGGAAAGGTAAAATCCTAACCTAAAGGAAAAAAAAACTAGATTAAACTATGATTGTTTCACAAAGGTCATTATACACCAATTAAATATCTAATCCTTAGGAAAAGAAAAATGTTAACCTAAACGAAATGAACTAGATTAAACTAGGATACAGCCATGAAGGGCATTATCCAGCACTAGCACGTATAATTCTAAGAAAAGATAGAATGATAACGAAAAGGGAAAAAATTGTACTAAAAGTATGATGGTCCTCCGAAGGTTTTTAGGCACCACTAGCATGTCTAATCCTAAGGTAAGGAAAATCCTAATGTAAAGAAAAATAAAATTGAATTAAAATAGGACGGTGCCACGAAGGGCATTATCCACAACTAGCACGTTTAATTCTAAAGAAATGAATAATCCTAACCTAAGGGAAAAAACTGGATTAAACAAAGATTATGCCACAAATGTTGTTATCCACCACTTGCACATCCTAACAAAAAGAAAATTGAATTAAATTAGGATGGTGCCACGAAGGACGTTATTCACCACTAACATGTCTAATTCTATGGAAAGAAAAAATAATAACCTAAAAGAAAAGAATACTTAATTAAGCTTGGATGGTGCCACGAAGGGTGTTGTCCACCACTAACTCATCTAATTTTACGAACGGAAGAATCATATCCTAAACGAAAAGAATATTGGATTAAACAAAGGATAGTGTCACGAAGGTTGTTGTCCACTTCTTGTATATCTAATCCTAAGGAAACAAAGAACCATAATCTAAAGGAAAATAAAAATAGCTTAAAAAAAGATGGTATCACAAAGGGCGTTATACACCACTAGCATGTATAATCCTAAGGAAATGAAGAATCATAACCTAAAGGAAAAAGAAAACATAATTAAACATGGATAGTGCCACAAAAGGTATTATCCACCACTAGTACGTCTAATCCTAAGGAAAGTAACAATCCCAACAAAAAGGAAAAGAAAACTAGATTAAACTAGTATCGTGCCTCGAAGGGTGTTGTACATTACTAGCATGTCTAATCCGAAGGAAATGAAGAATCCTAACCTAAAGAAAAAGAAAACTATATCAAACTAGAATGGTGGCACGAAGGGCATTATCCCCCACTAGCACACCTAATCATAAGAAAACGAAGAATCCTAACCTGAAGGAAAAAGAAAACTGGATTAAACCTAGGATGGTGTCACAAATGGCGCTATCAACCACTAACACTTTTAATCCTAAGGAAAGAAAAAAATCTAATATAAAGTAAAAGAAAACTTGATTAAACTAGGATGTTACCACGAAGGGCATTATCCACCACTTCCACGTCTAATCCTAAGGAAAGAAAGAAGACTAACCAAAAGGAATTGAAAACTGAATTAAACTACTTTTAGTGGCAAGAAGGGCATTATACACGACTAGTACATCTAATATTATAGAAAGGAAGAATCCTAACCTAAAGGAAAAGTAAAATTGTATTAAATTAGGATGGTGCCACGAAGGACATTATCCACCACTAACATGTCTAATCCTAATAAAAAGAATAATCCAAACCTAAAGAAAAGAAAAGTAGAGTAAACTAGGATGGGGCAACGAATGGTGTAATCAACCACCGGCACATATAATCCTAAGGAAAGGAAAATCTTAACCTAATGGAAAATAAATATGATTAAATTAGGATGGTGTTACAAAAGGCTTTATTCCCCACTAGCACATCCAATCCTAAGAAAAGGAAGAATCCTAACCTAAAAGAAAATAAAATTGAATTGAACTAGGATAGTGCCACGAAGGGCATTGTTCACCACTTTGACATCTAATCCTACAAAAAAAAAGGAATCTTAACATTAAGAAAAAGAAAATTGGATTAAATTAGGATGGTGCCTCGAAGGACGTTATCCACTTCTAGCACGTCTAATACTCAGGAAAGGAAGAATCCTAACCAACATAAAAATAAAACTAGATTAAACTAGTATGGTTCCTCAAAGGGCGTTGAACATTACTTGCACGACAAATGCTATAGAAAGGAAGAATTCTAATCAAAAGGAAAAGAAAACTGGTTTAAATTAGGATGATGCCACGAAGGGTGTTTTCCATCACTAAGACATCTAATCTTAGGTAAAGGAAGAATCAAAACCTAAAGAAAAAAAAAACTAGATTAAACTAGGATGGTACCACGAATGGCGTTATCCCCCACTGGCATGCCTAATCCTAAGAAAAGGAAGAATCCTAACCTAAAGGAAAAAAGAAAATTAGATTAACACTAAGATGGTTCCATAAAGGGCGTTATCCACCACCGAAACATCTAATCCTAAGTAAAGGAAAATCCTAACCTAATGAAAAAAAAACATGATTAAATTAGGATGGTGCTACGAAGGGCATTATCCTCCACTAGCATATCTAATCCTTAGGAAAGGAACAATCCTAACCTAATGGAAAAGAAAATTGGATTAAATTATGATGGTGTCACGACTGGCATTGTCTACCACTACCATGTCTAATCCTACGGAAAGTAAGAATCCTAACCTGAACGAATAGAAAACTGGAATAAACTAGAATGGTGCTACAAGCTTAAACATCTAATCCTTAGGTTATGAAGATGTTAACCTAAGTGAAAAGAAAATTTGATTGATCTAGGATGGTGCCACGAAGGGCATTATCCACAACTAGCAATTCTAATTCTAAGGAAAGAAAGAATGCTAACTTAAAGGAAAAGAAAATTGAATGACAATTAAGATGGTGCCACGAAAGGCATGGTACGTTAAATCCTAAGGAAAGGAACAATCATATCCTAAATGAAAAGAAAACTGAATTAAATTAGGATTGTGCCACGAACGGCATTATCCACCACTAGCATGTCTAACCCTAAGGAAAGAAAAAATCATAACCTACAGGAAAAGGAAAATTGATTAAACTAGGATGGTGTCATTAAGTACATTATCCATCACTCACACACTAATTCTATGAAAATAAAGAATCCTAATCTAACAAAAAATTAGATTAAAATAGGATGGTGCCAATAAGAATTTTATCCACCTAAAGAAAAATTAAAGGACTTAATTCTAAGGAAAGGAAATATCCTGACCGTAATGAAAATTAAATTGGACTAAACTGGATGGTGCCATGAAGAGCATTAACAACCACTGCCACGTCAAATCTTAAGGAAATAAAGAATCCTAACCTATAGTAAAAAAAAATTGTAATAAACGAGAATGGTGCCATGAAGAGTCGAGTCCACCATTAGCACGTCTAATCCTACGTAAATGAAGAATTCTAATCTAAAGGAAAAGAATATTAGTTTTAAACATGGATGGTTCCACTAGCACGTCTAATCCTGAGAAAAGGAAGAACCTTAACTTAAAAGAAGAGTAAACTGGACTAAAATAAGGTTGGTGCCTAGGGGTGTCAATTTTGGGTCATGGGTCGGGTTCAGGTCAAACCCAGAACTGACCCGGCATCATTCGGGTCAACCCGAACCCTACTCATTTTGTCAAATGGGTTTATTTTCCGGACCATAACCCGATCCGCTTCGGGTTCGGGTCAACCTGACACGACCCATTATCTGCTACAAGCGGGCAGCGGTGCGGGACATGGTGGATTCGCCGTTCACAGCGGGACGCGGAAGGCAGACATGCAGCAGCGCAGCGGTCAGGGCGGGCAGTACCACGGTGGGCAGATGAAACATGCGACTCGCAAAAAGATGCATGACACGCGAATTCGCAGCGCAACTTGGGCAACTTTGGTCAGGCCCGGTCAAGGCGGGCAGCAAGTCATTCCGGGTCATTACCGGGTTTTTGGGTCAACCCTAACCCGACCCGATTTTGCAAATGGGACGAAAACCTTAACCCGAACCCAAGCCAGTTCGGGTTAAAATGAACCCGAAATTTTAGGGTCAGGTTCAAGTCGGGTTTTTGGGGCGTGTCCAATATTGACACCCCTATTGGAGCCGCTAAGGGCGTTATCCACATGTATATATAATCTTAAACAAAGGAAAAACTCTAAACTAAAGGAAAAGAAAAATTGATTAAATTATGATAGTGCCTCGAAGGGTGTTATCCCCCACCAGTATATCTAATTCCAAGGAAAGGAATAATCCTAACCTAAAAGAAAAGAAGATTATATTAAACTAGGATGAGGCCACGAAAGACATTTTTCATCACAAGCATGTCTAATCTTATGGAAAAGAAAATTCCTAACCTAATAAAAAAGAAAATTGGAATGAAGTTGGATAGTGCAACGAAGGGTGTTATCCACCACTAGCACAACTAATCCTAAGGAATGAAAGAATCCTAACTTAAAAGAAAAAGAAAACTAGATTAAACTAAAATGGTTCCATGAATGGCATTGTCTACAACTAGCACATCTA